CCCCTGGGGTTTAGGGGCCACACAGGGCTGAGCTGGCGGTGCCGACCACTAGCGCCCAGAAACGGCCGGACGGTAAGGCCGGGTCACCAAGTGCCCCGGGAGGCCACGGGCAGCGCCGGCCCCGCCCGCCCCGCCCCGCCCCCAGGCAGGGCCCCGCCGAGCCTCTCCCCCGCCCTCAGGCCCCGGCTGCGGACCCCGCCCCCGCCCTCTCGGCCCGCCCGGCTCGCGGCGGCCCTGACCTCCGGCTGGGCGTTCACTTTCACAAACACGCGTCCTCTGTCCGTGTCGTAACTCTGACCCTGGCTAATGCACCCGCCCCCTGAGTGGCCCGTGGCCTTGACGGAGCCGCAGCCCAACTCCCGCCTCAGCAGCTCCTCCATGTTCCCTGCGGACTCGCCTCAGGCGACCCCGGGACGCCCGCGACAGCGCGGAGAGGCCTGGGGACTAGGCGAGGCGCCGTTACGTCACGAAGGGGCGGGGCCTGCTGAACGCGCCGGGATTGGGTGAGAGGCGGGGCGACGCCAGGTTGGGGGCGGGGCCTGGATGACGCTCAGGGATTGGGCGAGAGGCTGGGTGACGCCAGGTGGAGGCGGGGCTCTGCCGGGCTGGGGCGGGGTGACGCCGGCTGGGGGCGGGACCTGGAGGCTCCGGTGGTCTCAGAATAAAGTCTGGCCCGGCCGGTGTGGCCCAGTGGTTGACCACTGACCTATGAACCAGGAGGTCAGGGTTTGATTCCGGTCCGGGCACATGCCCGGGTGGCGGGCTCGATCCCCAGGAGGGGGCGTGCAGGAGGCAGCCGATCAGTGATCCTCTCTCATCATTGATGTTTCTATCTCTATCCCTCTCCCTGCCTCTCTCTAAAGTCAATAAAAACATATTTTTAAAGGAGAGAGAGAGAGATACCACACTAGCTCAACATTATTCCCAAGCAAGTCTCTCTCCTTGACCACGGAGTAGGATTTCCAGTTCCCCCCAACGCCGAGTTTGAGGGTGGAGGGTGCGGGCACCTGACCGCTGGAGCCAGGTCTCCGATCGGGCTGTCGGGACAGACCCGGCTCGAACCCAGCTCCGCCTTCCACCTTCTCCACTCGGGCCGGTCTGGTGTGAACTACCCTGAGGATGGGCTGCTGTCTGTGGGGGTGAGAAGGGACAGTGCGGGCTGCCAGGAGGGGGCCTGAGACCGACACAAACTTTGTAGGCTTGTCACACCCCGGCCAGAGGCTACGGAAGGGGGCGTGGCTTGACGGAGAGGGGCGGAGCCTTGGCTGGTGTGGGCGTGGCGTGGGCGGAGCATTGGTGGGCGGGGCATGGGGAGGGCAGGGGCGGAGTGTGGCGCGGGGTGAAAGTCTGGCGCGAAACCTGCATTACGTGGATTTCCTGCGGCCGTGATACTAGAATCGGTGAGGTTACAGTTTTGCTTAAAATAGTTTTTCTTTCTATATCGGAAGAACAACTGGCACCTTGACTGTGAATTCTTAGTGAGTCATCAGCAAATATACACCCAGTGTGAGAGTCTCATCAGCTGTCCGTTTCTATTTACTTTCCGACAGCAGGGGAGAGAAATCAGGAGTTCATTGGTGTGTGCAAGTGCCTGGGGCTTGAGAGAAAATATGATCAGTCCCTTTTTAGTTCTTAAGTCTATTTTTATGTGAGCATCAGAGAAAGAAACTAAAGAAATGCTTTTCCAGTGAGGTAGCGTGGCCGAGCGGTCTAAGGCGCTGGATTAAGAAATGCTTTTCCATAGTCAAATGGGAAACAGATTTCCTGTTATGTGAGGAGATCCCTTGTGTGTCGCCCAGAGATGGCAGACATTTCTCTTCTCCCCCACCTTCCACAGTAGGTGGTCCAGTTGTGCCCTAGGCCTGACATCCTATGTTGTGATGGAGTCTGGTGGTTCCAGACAAAAATGGCAGGACAAAAATCTCTCTTCTCCCTCGATAAATTATCACAAGAACCTAAAACAAAGGGGCAATCACAGGGTACGCAGACAAAAAGTAAGAATACACACAGCAGACCCAGTTGTTGCCGTATGTGTATGGGTAGCAGCGTCTACTGCAGGCACTGGGACCCTATGCCTGGGGACAGCAGTGGAGCATTCCAGAGTGGGCACACCGCTGTTCCTGATGGACTCCTTGGGTGGGGAAATCCAATATGCCCTTCACATCACCCCCACCCCTCCAGGTCCCCAGTGGGACTGAGCCCAGGTGTCTGAGGCAGTCTTAATAGCTATGAAAATGTAAGTGGCTGCAGATGTCCCCAATCTACAGCAAGATGGGTGTGAGCCCCGAAAAGACACAGCCCTCAGTGGGTTCTCTGACCTCACCCACCCACCCTCTCCTCCCTGTGGCTTGAGCTCTCCCCACCCCATCATCCTCCCACAGGGCTGATGAACCACAACCACCGGCAATAAATAAAAACAGCCCATATATGTCACCGTTCTCAAATCAAATGATTCTCGTTTTTAACTTACATTTTTAAAATATTTTAATTCTAAAAATGATTTCAGGAAGCATGGGGAACAATGAAGGAGGAAAATTATTTCAGGGTCTCTGAATAGTGCTTTTTGTCCAGTCCAATAAGGTAAGTAAAGGTTCATAACAGAAATGTTTTAGGAAACCAAGGTGATGAAAATAACATTCAACCTGAAAAATGTTGAATTTTCACCCTCCAGGAAAAAGACTCAGAAAACAGATTGGAAAAACCAAAATAATAGAATCAAGTTATGCTCATTAGATCCCACTTTTAGTAGCAGAAACACTCAGTATACGCAACATAAAAACAATTCTTAATCACTTACTCAGCACCTGTCATTTGCCAGGCACTGTGTTAGGTACTTTACAATCATGATTTCAAATTCTGAAAACCATTCTTGGGTAGATGGTTAAAGCTGTTTTTTGAAACAGAAGAAAATGAAGCTCATTAAAGTTTAATGACTCATCTAAAGCATCATAGAGCTGGTAGGTATTAGAACTAGGTTTTGGATCCAAGTTTTCTTCCACACCACACAGCACCCGCCATAAGGAAAACTAGCAGAATAAATTGCTCTTAGTATTTTATCCAAATTTCATTTGTAAAATCCCAGACGTGGCCAGCTATTCTCATACAGCAATACCTACCTTTCTAGTATTAATAAGAAAACCTGCTGTGTTCTTACCATGCGTTCAGACAACAGTGTTATCACAGATTACAATAAGCTATTCTTGTCCTCAATTCCAACGATTTAGAATCTTTTACTGAAAATCTTTTACTGAAGCCCTCTGATTAAAATATAAAACACGATATTCTATTTAGTAACAAACACCAACACCTGAAATGCCATTTTTGAACCATTTCTGCTTCATAAGAATCCAGCCTGCATTTGTCCGTATTAAACAAGAGGTCCCTGGAGAGATCGCAGTGTTGACCAAATGCAATATGATGGCGGAGCCTCCACAGACACAGGAAACGAAGCTAGGCCCTTCCACACAGCCATATGTCCTTGCGGTGATTTCATTTTAAGTCAATGTCTCTTCGTGTCGCATATATTCCCCAATGTCTTCTTGATGAAATACCACAATCGCCATGGGGTCTACTTTCCTACAGTCTGTGTAGACTTTGCTGCCACCCCAAAACCCAAGGGGATGTCTGCCATGGAGCACACGACCACTCCCTGTACTGAGATGCGTTTTCAGTGATTTCGACCCAGTCCAGATTTTAACAAGTGATTCCCATGCAGGAAGGACTGCTCTGCTCCAGGCTTTATCCACACTTGGTACTTGGCATAGGGTGCAAGGTAATCCAGAGCTATGATGTGCAACCGGAATTTGTGGGTCTTAGTGAATTTTCCGAAGCAAATCCCCAGCGACACCAGCCTGTCACCAGAGATGTTGGCGACCAACTTCAAGATCTTTTCACTCACGTAGTACACCCGGTCGGTCGTTGTGCAGCCTGAAACAGTACGTGCTGTTGGGCCTACCGACCAGCAGCTGAAGGTTCTCCCGGATGGTATGAGCAAGCAAAAGGAGGACTGGAGGCCGCGTCCGAATGGAGGGGTCCAGCTCCTCAAATGATTCTTTAAAAAAAAAATCAGCTCTAGCCAGTTTGACTCAGTGGATAGAGCGTAGGCCTGCGGACTCAAGGGTCGCGGGTTTGCTTCCTGGTCAGGGCACATGCCCGGGTTGCTCCCCAGTAGAGGGCGTGCAGGAAGCAGCCAATCAATGATTCTCATCATTGATATTTCTATCTCTCTCTCCTCCCTTCCTCTCTGAAATCAATAAAAATATATACATATTTAAAAATCAAATGATTCTTGGCGTATTTTGACCCAGTAGGGAAAGAAAATGTGATGATACAGAAGTGAAAGTGGGCGGGCATTCGCACGAAGATGTAATTGAGATTAACAACCATCTACCTGGTCAGCACTCCAGAGCGGAAGGCAGGCCCAGGCCTGAAGACCGTGGCGCTCTGGACCGGGAGGGAGCCCGGAGCTGGAGGGTCCCCCCTTGTCCCCTTCTCCAGCACCTGCACAGACACGTGCACACGTGCACAGGCGCGCGAGCACACACAGGTACGCGCACCCACGGACTTTGAGTCGTTCTGGGACAAGGAAGAGGCCTGAGCAGCCGTGGGGGAACACCGAGCTCGTCCCGGACAGGGACCCCTGGCGCCAGGAGACTTGGCCCGGGCGCCCCGACCTAGGGTCCGCGTACAGAATCGCCCCACCGCACCGGCTGCCGGCCCACGCGGCACGGTAAACGCCCGGCCCGCCCCCTGCTCATCCCGCCCCGCATTGGCTGCCGGATCAGCGTCCCCGCCCCCTGTCACCCCTGGCTCCGCCCCACTCCGTCCCTGGATTCCCATGGCCCCGCCTCCCGTCCACCATTGGCTGCGGCTGTGGTGGGCGTCGGTCTGGAGGCGGAGACCGCAGCAAGATGGACGGGAAAGATAGCCAATGAGCACGCGCAGCTACCTTAGCAACTACGGCCAGCCAATGGCGGGGCGGGGCGGGGCCGCACACTGTCAGGCGGTGGGGGCACGGAGCCCAGCGTTCCACCGACTGCGGGTTTGCGCGGCGCCTGTGTGCCCCGCCACCTCCTCTGCGCCGTCCCGCGGGCCGGGCATGGGCGCGGGCGCCGGCACCATGAGCGTCCTGGGCAGCCCGGTCCGCGCCTACGACTTTCTGCTCAAGTTCCTGCTGGTGGGCGACAGCGACGTGGGCAAGGGCGAGATCCTCGCGAGCCTGCAGGACGGCGCGGCCGAGTCCCCCTACGGCCACCCGGCGGGTGAGCGCGGGGCGGGGAAGAGCGGGGCCAGGAGAGTGCAAGGCGGGCGGGAGCCTAGGGGGAAGCTCCAGGAGGGCAGCGGGGGAGCGGGGCCGGGGATGGGGGAGGGCTTGGGCCGGGCCGGGAGGTAGCGCACCGAGGGTCGGGGAGGAGCGGAGCTGGGTGCGGGGAGCGTGGGGCTCGGGACCGGCCTGTCTCTGCCTGGATCGGGCCCACACTTCGCGGGCGGCTCCGGCAGCACCCCCGTCCCACACGTGGGGGACCCAGGCGGCTCGCGGGGGGCCGGGGGCGGACGCAGATGCGCATCTTCCGTCCTCTCGTCCGGAGGGAGCGAGTGGCTGGGCAGGCCGCGGGAGGTCCTCCCGACCTGGGGGTGACTGCGAGGCGGAGGAGGGCGTGGGGATTTGGAGGGCCCCCCACAGGGAGGCCCACGTGCGCGCGACGCATTTGGAAAGAATGCGTGGGGTGTGGAGACGGGAGCGGATTCGAGCGTGGGATCCAAGTGGAGCGGGCTCAGGCTTCCAGGTGGCTGCTCTGCGCGTGGGTCGGATGGAAGAGGAGCGAGAGAAGAGCAAGAGGCCTGGTCTGGGGGCTTCTGCAGGGTTCCCGGCGTGACCGAAGGGCCCCTGGTCCAGGTGGACAGGCCTGGGAGGGCAAGGAACCTAAGTGACCCTGGAGAGTGCGGCCCTGGGCGGAGAAAGTGCAAGGGAGTGGGTTCCGGATCGAGGGGAGGCCCGTGGTCCCAGAGCTCCAGGACACGGGGTTTCCCCAAGGTTTGAGGTTTGACAGCCGCAACCCCAAGAGGGCGTGGGCATTAGGAGGGAAAGAAGGGCAGCGGGGGAGGAGAGGGAAGTGCGGTGGGCAGACACTTGAGCCAGGAGACTGGAGAGTCAGGGTCTTTGCCCATCGTGAACGGCTGTGCAGTGCAGACTGAGTGGTCGCGGAAGGAAACCTGTACTTGGTCACCTCTGAGCATCCTCTCAGGGGTGCGAACCACACCTGAGCACAGACCCTGCGGCTCTGCCTCTCACTTGTGCTCTGGGCTTGCGGTCTGGTTCTCGGGGCGCAGAAGAGGGAGCCCAGGGAGCGGAGTCTTTTCTTTTTTAATGTGAAGATCTATTTGGCTTTAATAAGAGATCCGTGAATTGGGCAGCATCCCATCTAGCAACTGGCAGGGTGCTCCCAGGGTGGAGGCTTGATGCTGGGTGTGCTTCCGACCTCCCCAGGTAGGAGAGAATTGAGAACAGTGCAAAGGAGTTTGCACAGCGTAGGGGCGGGGGGGGGGGGGGGGGGAGGCTCACCAGGAGATAAACAGGATATCTGAGGAGGGAGAGCATGGCCGCTGCTTCAGTAGAGAGAGCAGGGCATCCCTGAAGGGCAGCCGGTGTGGTAGGACCTTGGATGGGCTACTGGGGGTCAGGGAGGTAAAGAGGGACAGCTGGGCCCTGCCCGCGTGGCTCAGTGGTTGGGCATTGACCTATGAACCTGATCTTTGATTCCCTGTCAGGCCGTAGGGTCTGGTTGTGAGCTTGATCCCCAGGGTGCGGTGTGCAGGAGGCAGCCGATCCATGATTCTCTCTCCTCATCGATGTTTCTATCTCTCTCTCCCGCTCCCTTCCTCTCTGAAATCCATAAAAATATTTATTTAAAAAGAGTGGGCAGGAGGGAGCATTGGGCTCCTGAGCAAGGGAATAACAGAACACAGGATCATCTTAGGGAGAGTGGCCGGGGAGGGGGGTGTGGAGATAGAGCCGGGGAAGTTTGAGACGATGGGCATGAGCTAATGAGGAGAACCTGGACTCATCCTCAAATTGCAATGGACAGAGAATCACCTGGAGGTCCCATGCAGATTCCGATAGATTCTGGAACAGTGTTGTCCGAGATGATGCCATTAGCTACACAGGGCTTTTTAAATTTAAAGTAGTTAAGCCCTAGCCGGTTTGGCTCTGTGGATAGAGCATGGGCCTAGGCACTGAAGGGTCCCAGTGTTTGTTTCCAGTCAAGGGCATATGCTTGGGTTGTGGGCTTGATCCCCAGTAGGAGGCATGCAGGAGGCAGCCAATCCATGATTCTCTCTCATCATTGATGTTACTATCTCGTTCTCCCTCTCTCTTCCTCTCTGAAATCAATACAGATATAAATAAGTAAATTTAAAGTAGTTAAAATGGAATGCAATCGAAAGTTTGCATCAGCCACTTTTCCAGGGCTCAGCAGTGACAGCACACGGGTGGCCGAGGTCTGCTGGACTGGGCAGCCCCGAGTTTCAGCTCCAGGAGGGCAGCGGCGGTTGCTCCCCAGCTGGGCCCTCAGGGCTCTGCAGTTGAATGGAGGAGCCTCAGTGGAGGTGAAGGAATAACACATTCGACACTGAGGCCTGGTGCTCTTCCAGCTGTGTGTGTCTGAGGGACCGAGCTGTGGGATGCTTTCAATTGTACGGCCGGTGAGTGATGTGGGGCAAACAGAGCTCCTGATGGGTCTGAACAAGGGCTGGACTAAGCTTCTGGTGCATTCCTTTCTTCTTGCTAGGTGACCAACCCAGGACTTCTAAAAACAGGGCTTTCTTCCAAAGTTTATTCCTTGTCATAGATGTGCCCCTTGTGAGGTTTTGATTTATTGGAAGATTCTTCTAGGATTAAGAAAAGAGAGGATGAAAAATTGTGAAAAGTAGGAATCCTTTTTCTTTAAAGACAGGTTTTACTTCAAAACTATAGGTGCTTCTGACATTCAAAGGCCAAGGCATTTTCAGCTTACATCTCCGTTCCCCTCCGCCCACCCCACACCTGGGTTTTGTAGCCTGGGTTGTTGTTTTCACATTGCCAGGTTTATAACACTCACTTGTGTTGTTGCTACAGTGACCATAATTGCTCGGTAATAATTCACCAGGTAAGGAAGGAACAGTGCTCACCACCAGTCCTGTTTCTATCCGTATCAGTGGGTTCTTTACTTTGCTATCCCTCTAATTAGCTAGATTTTTTCCCCCATCATTTTTCAGGGAGGGCTCATGAGTATTTCCTGAACATTTTCACATTTGAGAATGTCTAGTCCATTGTCTTTATCTTTGAATGATAGCTTGGCTGGGTATAATATTCTTAGGTTATATCTTTTTCCCCTCAACACTTTGTGACTATTGTCCCGCTACCTCCTTGTCATTGGATGTGCTGTGGTGAAGCCTGAGGTCGGCTGATTTTCCCCCCATGTGGGCGATTTGCCTTTTCTTCCTGAGTTTCTGAAGAATTCTTTCTGTTGTTTCATAGTCTGTTAGTTTAACTAGACTGCGTCTCAGAGATGAATAATTGGTATTGAACTTCTAGTATGCTCTGTACTCTTTGAATTTTGCAGAATCATTTTTCAGTTTCAGAGAAATTTATTTAAATGTCCCTAAAACATCTTCTGTTACATTTGTTGGTGTTTTTACTTGAGGGGCACCAATTGTACCAGGTGTACCTGTTAATAATGCGGATATTTTTTTCCATAGATGGAGTTATACATACGTTGATATAAATGCGATTTGATAGTATGCTATTTTGTTGTATTAACAACAAACTTCAAAACTTCATATGTCAAATTTTCTGAAGGTGTTAACATCATAGATATTTTTACACTTAAAAATGTCAAATTTTGTGTCAAAAAAAAGAACATTTGCAGGAAGTTTTAATTCATCACTTTATTTTAAAGAAAATTGTTGATGAAAGTTATCGTATACTTTGGGAAGCTGATGGTGAACATGCTCCATCTCAAGACACTTGTGAACGCTGGTTTAAATGCTTTAAAAGTGATTTCTATGTGAAAGACAAAGTACATCCAGGTCAACCAAAAAAGTTTAAAGACCAACAATTACAAGCAATATTGGATGAAGATGTGTGTCAAACTCAAAAATAACTTGAGGACCGATTAAACGTTGCTCAGCAAACAATTTCCGATCATTTACAAGCAATGGGAAAGATTTTAAAGGAAGGAAAATGGGTGCCACATCAACTGAACGAAAGACAAATGGAAAACCGAAAAGTCATCGTAAAATGTTGCTTCAACGGCACGAAAGAAGTTCTTTTTTGCATCGAATTGTGACTGAGGATGAAAAGTGGATTTATTTTGAGAATCCCAAACGCACAAAATCATGGGTTGATCCAGATCAACCATCAACATTGACTGCGAGGCCAAATCGCTTCGGAAAGAAGACAATGCTCTGCGTTTGGTGGAATTAGAAAGGTGTGGTGTATTATGAGCTTCTAAAACCAGGTGAAACCATTAATACTGATCGCTACCAAAAACAAATAATCAATTTGAACCACGCTTTGATCGTAAAACGACCAGAATGGGCCAGAAGACACGGCAAAGTAATTTTGCTTCATGATGATACACCATCACACACCTCGAAACCAGTTAAAGACACGTGAAAAGATCTTGCCTGGGAAGTATTAACCCACCCGTTGTATTCACCAGACCTTGCTCCTTCAGATTCCCACTTGTTCGGATCGATGGCACACGCACTTTCTTGATCACACCCCCTGTGGCCCCTCTGGTTCAGAAAAGGCTCAGAGAGGTGGCTTTTTCCCCTTGAGGAGCATTGAAACGTCTCTCCTTAAAGTGACCTCGGTTTCAGATTCTTTTTTTTTTTTTAATATATTTTATTGATTTTTTTACAGAGAGAAAGGGGGAGAGATAGAGAGTTAGAAACATCGACGAGAGAGAAACATCGATCAGCTGCCTCCTGCACATCTCCCACTGGGGATGTGCCCGCAACCCAGGTACATGCCCTTGACCGGAATCGAACCCGGGACCCTTCAGTCCGCAGGCTGACGCTCTATCCACGGAGCCAAACCGGTTTTGGCAAGGTTTCAGATTCTTGTCCTTTCTCTTTGCCTTTGACAAACCTCCACCAGGAGATGCAGGCACCCTCCCCGCTGCCTCTGCGATGCTGCAGACAGTGGTGCATTTGCCAGTTTTATGGCTATGCTGTCGGTTTCCCTTGGCAACCACTTGAAGATTTAAAGCACGATTTT